TTTTAGTAATGGACATATGATGCTCGCAGCACATCCGTCACTGACATACTAACACTGCACAAGTTTCTCTCTGGCTGCACTGAGGTCATTAACTTCCACAAAAGTCTTTGTCATGGGTGCCCATTGCTAGCTAAACCCTCACAGTGCTCTTTGCTTGCCAATGTAGTCCAAGTGATTGCCTCCTCGGTGATACAGCATTAAACAATAAGAGAATCCAGGTACTACAGGTAATCTACTTTAAATGTGTAGAATCGAGGGAAATGGCATCAGATCGAATCAGCAGATCCTAAATCTTAAACGATTCTGATGGATCGAGGGCAAAAAAGCCTGATCAGAAGATCACTGGTTAAAAACAGCTTTCATCAGATAACTGTGTGAAGTCTTGACTCAGATTTCTCTTTCACACGAGTGAAGAATGAGCACCGACTGTAACCGAAAACAAGCAGCGCTGTGAAATCCAAGTCGGACTATTGTTGATGTGAAAGTGTGCTCGGCCTCCACCTTCCAGGCTCATTGTCCCGCTGTTGTTAAGAATAGTTCAGAATAATGCATCTCAGCAGGAACAAGACAGGCACGTTTACACTGTTGGTGTTTGTGAGAAGAACAACTCTGCTGCACTGAACACAAAACGTAGTGAAAGAAAGGCGACACGTCAGAGACCCTGTGTGAACAACAACACAGCGAACAGATGTTCTTCAGGCTGTCTGACTCGTACCTTGAGGTAGTCGAAGATGTTGCAGATGAACGTGACGAAGCACACCCACTCCTGCAGCGAGCGTCCCCTCGTCTCCTCGCGATCCTTAAACTCCTGCTGGAGTCGGTTCAACAAATTCCTCCTGAACACGTTTCCATTGCTCTGCTTGGCCTCAGCCTGCACGAGGAGACCAAACAGAGTCGGCTCAGATAGAAGGAGGAGCACGAACGAGAAGTCAGGCGATACGGGGGAGTCGGTAAGCTGATTTAGGAGTCTCCTGTTGCTTCAATGCAAACTTCCAATTAGGCATTAATAAGGCAAGAGGATTAACAATCACAGACTCCAGCAGATGTTTAAGTCGTCCTCCAGTCTCAGGTTTCCTAAATGCCTCATCCTTAATGAGCCACGTATTAGTCAGTGCACTTCCCTAAACGAAAAGTCCAACACTGACCTGCACAATAGTGTAGCAGATACGTCCAGCCTCTTTGCTGAACACCTGGTCCTTCAAAGACTGATCCACAATGATGTTGGAGACCTTCTCCAGGTTGACTGAACTTGGATCTGAAAGACGGAAAGAAAAGGCTTTAAAAAATATCTTTATGGACACTAAACCCATCCAGGGGGTTTTAATGATCTGTAGCAACATGCCGACCTTTCAGAGCAGTTTTCAGTAACATCTGTGTGTCCTGGTCGAATGACTGAATCCTGTAGTCATCGGTGGAGTTTTCCATGATAGATGGTAGCATGTAAATACACCTGAGAGCCTCCACGCTGTGAGAATATAGAAGAGCATGGTTATTGCTGCCTGGCTGGATGTCACAGGTGTTGTCATCACACACAGTAAAGCAGGTGTTTGGGGCCTTGGACCACCAGACAGAGCTCAGGACAACAATGCGATCCTGTTCAGTCATCAAACTGGCTGCTGCACACAACTCATTCACTGAGGGATCGTGGGGATTACATGGGAAAACCAGGTCAGCTGAAGGGTCATCCAGTAATCAAAAGATCGACCCGCAGCACGAGGACAAAGTTAGATTTACCCCGATGGGACCCCGAACATGTCCAGCAGCAGTCATGTCTGGTCCAGCACACCTACATGTACATCTAGCCGTAGGTAATCTCTGCTAAGGTAACGGGACTGTGGTCTAGAGTTGGTTTAACAATAGAACATGATGCTCTGACACATGTTTGCTGTCTTTTCCTACACCAGCAGTCTTTCTGCTCAGATAACTTACATGTAGTTTGTTAGCTTGTTTGTATGTAAATGTTCGGCTAACGCTAACGTCGACTTTAATTACCAACCTTCATCTAAAAACGCCCGCCAGAAGAAACACACGGGTAGTTACTAACTATAGCAAGCTGATAGAAAAGGCGCGTTAAATTATTTACCCATTTATTTGAGGATAATGTAAGAAATGTACCTATTTAACGCCAATCCTTCTGCTCATACCACTTCAGCGGAGCGACGCTCGACACTGGCTCACAAAGATCACGTACGAGCGACAAGATGAGCCCCGCCTCTCGATACCGACGTCAAAATAACTGTGCATTAAGTCTGTTTCTTCTGCACCATCCCCATTATTGTGGTCATCGTGATTGTCGACACCTTAAACTGCACTATCCACACCAGTGATGTTAGCCTAAAGCAGGTGTTCGAGCCGTTACCTTACCTGCTGTACTGAAGCGAGGCGGTGAATCATCTTGTTGGGATATTTCTGCTTTGAAAGGCGGGGCACTAACCCGGAAGTAGTATTTATGGCTTGTGGGCAAACAGTATAAACCTGTTCTTGTCATGTTCCTGTTGGATTTTACGTGCTGGGTTTCAGTGCTGGAGCTGTACTTATATTTATGAAGGATTCCTACCACAAGGTAAAGTCTGTGTGACCCTTATTACCGCTACAACCCCGGAACAGAGTGGACAGCTGCTCTGTTGTTAGCTTAGCTTAGCTTGTCCCAAGGTCCCACTGCATGTCCTCCACATGTTGTGTTTGTTACTGTATGGATCTTTAGGACATTTTGTCCTTAAGATATGTTTTATAAAACGCTGTCCATCAAGGAAGATCTGCCACAAAATTTCACACGAACATTAAACATGTGACTGAAGCTCCAGATATTAGCACAATGTTGGACATAAAAAACTAAAATGCATATTTAAGCAAAATTGCTGCCCAAAGTCAAGGCAACAGATTTGAATATTTCAGCTTGACATCCGATTTTCATAGTTTGACATCCATGGCAAACTTTTACTCAGAGTAAATGCATTAATTTACTCAAGTTATCCTGAGTACACCTGTGCCTTGTTTCAGTGTTTTCTTTTTCTACTGCTCCACTCAGCTGTAGTCACTTTGCAAAATAAGAGCCTGTTTTTCAAACGTATAATCATCTTATTAGAACATGATCCTGTTCATATTAACTCTATCTACAGTATGCTGTTCTTCATTGTGGCTGTATTTGCTTCAGTGCTTCTCTTTAATTTTGAATTTAACTGCATATTTTCACATGTTTGCTTAGTCTGTGTCTGTAGGGTTAACAGGGACCTGAGGCTGTGGAGACATGGTGGGCTATGACCCTGGTTCTCAGGGTGCAGCTCTCTCCCCGGAGGAGGCAGCCCTCGCTGGCTCGGCTGCTGGGATGGTCACCAGAGCCCTCATCAGTCCCCTTGACATCCTTAAAATCAGGTTTCAGGTAATAATAATGCAGCAGTGCTTACTGTGTGACGTGTCATCCAGGATGTATGCATTACCAGCTGTGACCAGACATTTCTGAGTATTTGCACATTTCAGTTGTTATAGATGTAGAAATGTAAACCAGCCATTTAGACTCAGTACCACAGAATCAACACAGTGGTGCCGATCAGCGTTTCTTTCTCCCTACAGCTGCAGATCGAGTGTCTGTCTTCACAAAGGTCGGAGGGGAAGTATTGGGGATTATTTCAGGCATGTCGCTGCATTCGTTCAGAGGAGGGACTCTCTGCATTCTGGAAGGGCCACATCCCAGCACAACTCCTCTCCATCTGCTACGGGGCTGTCCAGGTAGAGCATCAACCGCTACGCAGTAAAACTTTATTCACAACATCTACCTGATTTTGCACATGTCCTTCGCAGTTTGCCAGTTTTGAGTTTCTGACCGAGGTGGTCCATAAGTCGACGGCGTACGACAGTCAGAAGTCAGGCGTTCACTTTGTCTGTGGCGGTTTGGCAGCCTGCTCTGCTACGGTGGTCTGCCAGCCTCTGGACACACTGAGGACTCGCTTTGCAGCTCAGGGAGAACCCAAGGTGGGACACAATACGATGATGTGCTGCCGCTTCCAGTTTTGACAGATACTCAGAAGTCAGCACATAGTCAAAGGCTTTTTGATTGAGTTAATGACGTGAGGAAGTGTGAGTGTGGTAGGACAGCAGCGATGGAAACACTGAGACGTTATGTGTCGTCTCCTGCACTAACAACAGTGTCAAGCTTTGACTCCCTTTCCTTAAAATGAAAACAGACATGAAAACGCCTGTTTGTGTGAATACTGAAAAGGATAAAGGAAGAAGTTGTGTCGTCTGTGCTTGTTCTACTGGACTCAGCTTCCAATAGACGGATGTATTCCTGTTTTGCTAATAATTATTTTGGAATATATTTAGAATCTATTTTGAGCAGATGCTTCAGCAGAGGACAGAGAATGAATCTGCAGGAAACCAAACACTGTAAATCCTAAACAGAATGTTTAACTATCTTAAGTAAAGGTGCTAAAACAACCAAGGATTTCTTCATCTTTAGAAGCCCGAGTGATCAAACGTACCTTAGAGCTATTAAAAGCACTGAAGAATTAAAAAGTATATTGTCTCTCACCTGTTGTTGGCAGTAATTTTAGACAACATTCACCTGTGCAGCTGTAGTGACATTGCTGTGATAGTGTCTCTTTTAAAGGTGTACAGGAACCTGCGACAAGCTGTGACCACTATGTGGCGCTCAGAGGGAGTGCTGACGTTCTACCGCGGCCTGTCGCCGACGCTGATGGCCGTGTTTCCGTACGCCGGACTGCAGTTCTTCTTCTACAATGTGTTTAAACAGCTGCTGGCTCCTCCGCCCACAGCTGGAAACTCAGGAGGTCGGTGGAGATCAAATGTACGTAATGCTAATGCAGAGGGTTCAGGTTTAAGTGCTGCTTGGTTTTATGGCTCTTTCTAAGGAACCCTGCGAAGCCTGGTCTGTGGCAGTGGAGCCGGAATGATCAGCAAAACCATCACTTACCCCTTCGACCTGTTCAAGAAGCGGCTGCAGGTGGGAGGCTTCGAGGCCGCCAGAGTTCACTTTGGACAGGTGAGCTCTTCACAGCACGCCTCATTTCACTGGAGCACAATATCTGGATCTGGTGGAACAATCGTCTCCTGTTTTTCACGTGCAGGTGCGCAGTTACAGAGGCCTGATGGATTGCATGATTCAGATAGCCAAAGAGGAAGGCGTACGAGGCTTCTTCAAAGGGCTCTCGCCGAGTCTTCTGAAGGCAGCTCTGTCAACAGGATTCACCTTTTTCTGGTATGAGTTTTTTCTCAATGTCATGCAAAACGTGAAGGAGCAACAGAGAACACGTGACCTCACCAAAGACGTGGAGGAAAGATAATGAAGGAAAGACAGTAACGCACATTGAACACTCGCGCCTTGTTATTCGCTTGCACTGAACAAATGTCTCGTCTGGGTTGACGGTGGGGGTTTCTGCTGTTTACAGGAAAACATATCCTCATTTATTCTCTGGTTGTTCCGGTCACCATGTCAAGTGTTGTAAAGATAGAATAGATTTTATAAAGTTGTATTTGATCTGTGTTTGTAAAGGAAACTTGCTTTTATCATACATGTCTGAATTGTTCTGTTCAGTCAACTTTGCACATTTTAAGCACTGACTTCAGTCAGCTGAACTTTGCCATTGTTAGGTTACATTTTCTTGATATTTAGGGATTAAATTGGGAGAAATGAATTCAGCAAACATTAACTTTGGAAGTCTGTGGTGGTATTGTGCATTAATATTTGAATTTTTTTGATTGACTTTCCCTTCTGGGATAAATAAAGTATTTTTCATTTCATTCATTTTCATATTGTGCACAGACTAAAGAAAGAACAATGAATATGGATCTGAGGGATATTATTGTGGACAAACAGCACTCTGAGTGTGTATATGCTAAGCTAAGGTCGTTGCAGTGGTTGTGGTCGTTTCAATGTGTGTGTCCAACTCTGCAACTTTCAGGTCATTATTTTTCAATAAAGGTTTTTCTAAAGACTAAGTTGTGAGTCTTCTGATGACCAGAGGCTGGATGAAGGATGTGCAGGTGTTCTGGGCTTTCACTGGTAATAAATGATGCACTGGACTGTTCAGGTGTAGAACGATGCTGTCGACACGCTGCAGATCTGGTTTAAAGAAGAAGAAGAAGGTAAACTTCACACATACATCGACCTTCAGCTGGAGTCTATTGTAGAATATCGGAGTTTTAGTTTTACTTTTCTACTGAATATTAAGTTTTATTTACATGTCAAGTTTTTTTTTTTTTGCAAATTAAACTAAAAAAAATTAAATGAACTGTATTCAAAGAAGTAGAAGTCACAGATGTGATGTAGTTTGATCCCTGCAGCTGTTTCTTCAGGACTGGCATAAACACAAGTGAAGCACGATAATAACAGCTGATCTGCAGTCAGATCTTCAACACGTCTGATTCTGTGTTCTGAATACTTACGAGCATTTTGCATGGATTTAATTTTCTGTTTACCTGCTTTAGGTGGATAATTCCACTCAAATAAATGATGCAAACAAACACAATTATGGATGCACCAGCATTTAATTTAACTTCATTCACTGACTATAAAACCCACCAACAGTAGGACTGAAAATGAACAGCTGATCTGAATATAGCAGCAAAACAACACCACATGACCAGTCTTTAAAAACTAAAACACAACATCAAGTATGAGATAACAAAGAAAACCAATTCACAAATATTTCAAAGCCGCCTCAGCGGTCAGAACCATGCGATTACATGAAGACGTCGCCATAAACAAACACTTAGAGAAGATGAAGAGTCCTGTCTGTTGAAAAGCATCGTTCCAAAGCCACTGGATATGATAATCTTTTTAAAGTACGGACATTTGACTGGTTAAACAACGTTCATACAGCATGTATGTACAAGACACACCTGAGTGTGGAACCATAACACTCAGCGGTCACAGGGCCCAGCAGGACTCTGTCACAATGTCCCGACCACAGAAACACAGACATCACAGCACAAGCTGCAGGCAACACAGCCACATGTTTAACGGTAAAGCAGGAAGAGGAAACCTAATTCTGTACAGGTGAATTTAACGTGCAGTGGCTGAATCTGGCACCCTGAGCCTGGATAGAACAAGGCAGCGCTCTGTGGGATGCTTCCAGGAATGTTGGCTCCACTCAGCAGGCCGCTTGGACTCCATGCTGACTGATGACCAGGAGGCGAGAAAAATGAGGAGCTGCTTTTGTTTGACTCTCGCTGGGACGGACGAAACCTCTACACCTCGCTGGACTGTTTGCTGTTTGAGACCAGGCTGAGAGCTGTGGACGCTGCTGCAACGCTCTGCTGAGGGGCTGGGACCACCAGGACAGTCTCCTTCACTTCAGCTGGCTGAGGGGGCTTTGTGGGATGTGCTGGGCAGGCATCCTCCACTGATCCGCGGGTCGACGGCGTTCCACGGCGCTGCAGCAGCTTCTTCATTCTGGCTGCGGACTGGAGTTCCAGGAGAAGAAGCTGGGCAGCTTGAAGAGGGAGTCCCTGCGGCCCGGATCCGGCAGGGTCAGGGTCTCCGGAGCAGACTTCTTCCTGGGCCGCTCTTTGGGGACTGAGAGGAACTCCGGGGCCTCGGTGGAGAGGGGGGTGGACGGGGCGCTGTTGGGTCCGCTGCGGGCGCTGGAGGGCAGCGGGGTCTCTGAGATGGAGATGGTCGGAGGGAAGGTGCCGATCTTCAGGTTGGTGGCTTCCTGTGTGGCTCGCTCGTACTCTCGCACCTCCTCCATGGTCATATCTGTTGGATGGAGACAGACACAAGGCTATAGTCTATCTGACCTGCCTCCTCCAGAGACCTGGAAATAAGTCTGGTAGTTCCTCAGCTTTTTGTGGAGGATGGAGGAAGCGTGAGGATGCTCCACAGCTGGAACATACTAACCACATGTGTGTGTTTCGTATTCCACATGAACACGTCTCTATTTATTTTTATAGTACTTATGTGTGCACATGTGTGTTAAATGAAAAATACAAAGTGTGACGTTCTCGCCACGTTGTGACGTGAATTACAGGTAAAATTATATATTATCAAAAAAAAGGACGTGCAATTGGTGAAAGGAGGTAATGGGCTGGAAACAGTGACAGGACTGGTGAGGACAGTCAGGTAGGTTCAGTATTTATTTGTACCATTAATTTGCTGACTATAATGCACAATATGGACTTTTAAATGGACGTTGGCTCTGAAGAGAGCAGCAACACAACGTCCACACCATCTGTGGTTTTATGCAGCTGAATCCCTGAATCTGCATCAGTTTCATCCAAAAAGAAGATGATCCATGCTTTTGTGGTGGGAAGACTGCAGGTGCAGGTGGCCTGCCTCCTCTTGTGGCCAGTTATCTAATCAGAGCAGGCTGTTTAAGTCATGTGCTCCCCTCTGTTCTCCCTCTGCTCCCTGAGCTCTGTCCCTGCTGTAGCTGGTTGGGTTTGGTGTCCAGGTAGGAGAAGAAGCTCCTTCACATGCACACTTTTTTTTAATTTTATTTTTTAAAGTAACTGCATGTTAATGTCGATCACCTTTTTGTTTGAAGTGTTGGTCGACTGTAAAGCCGTTTTGTGACCCTCTGCTAGACCAGTGATTTAGTTAATGGCCCATGTGAGAGGTGGTGAGTAGGATGACGGTTTTAAAAGGCATTTGAAGGTATATGTAGGTTGAGCCTGGCTGATATTTTCCCCTTTTTCCAGGTTCTCCTGCCTTATAACCACTGCTGTTTTGCCTGCTAGTTTAGGTTTTTGTATTGGTTTAGCCAGCTGGGTTGTGTTGCTTTAGTTGTTTCTCATTATTTTGTGTTTAGTTCTTTTCTTTTCAGAGCAGAGCGCCACTTGGTGGAGAGACTAGGCACCTGTGGTGAAGTCCCTTCACTTTATTTTGTTTGCATGTGAGTAACTGCACAGGGACACGACATCGACTGCACCACTTTGCTGTGAGGATGCCGTGAGATTTGTTGTGTTGCGCCCAGGTGAGCACTGGTCCCTGGACACTCCTCATCCTCGTCTCTCCACAAGTGGCTTCTACTTGGTTCTTTTGTTCTAGTTTTTTTGGACTGGATTTTATATTGGTGTTCCACTGATAGTGTGTTTTTTGGGTTTTTTAGAATTCCTATTATATATAACTTTTATTATAATAAAGTAATACTCTGACCCATTTCACTGTTTCTTTTTAATTTGTTCTTTAACTTTTCGTTCTTTTCAGCACTTCCTGTCCCATCCTGTTTATTCTGCTTTCAGTATTACAAACAAAAGCTTTTGATTTACTTTGGAAAACACTTCAGTAATGAATCTGTGTGCCTTATTATCCACTTTTCCAACATAATACGGTACAATTAGTATTTCCTGGCATGCAGTCCCCCAGGTGGCGCTGTTCGGCGTTCTTTCAGTTCTCCACATAGTGCACCTCACCACACTTTCTACACATTGGCACCTCTACCAAACTTACCGATCCACTCATCCACCCACGCAAAGGCCTGCCGGTGTCCAAGCAGCAGGACGTCTCGGATCACCTGACCAGGAGGCGAAGGAAGCGAGGAGCAGGAAGGGAAAGGAAGGAAAAAGAGGAAAGGAAGGAAAGGAGAGCAGAGTGAGACGGAGGCAGGAAGATTCAGAACTGACGGCTGCGTGTTGTAGAGCAGAACAGCTGCTGACTCTGATCTGTGCGGGTCAGAGAGCTGAGCTGCCTCTCTGAGGGCATCGACAGCGCATCATCCTGACCTTGTGGACAAACTGCTCCACTCGTGTCTGCAGGCCCCAGACTTCAAACTTGACTGTGACCAGCTTGTAGGAGCACATGATGGGTTCCTGGGAGTCGATCCATCCTTCCTGCAGAATCCCTCGGTTCGTCTTCTTCGACTTGAAATGCCGAGGGTCCTAGAGAGCCAGGAGACACAGACATCAGATCATCACACATTCTTCCTCCTTTTCAAGTCATTACATTCACCATAACATTAGCTGAAGAGGACGTGCAGAAGTCCTCTGCCTGCTCTTCAGCCAGCCTCTAATTAACAGGTCCTGTCCTGGTATTCATCTCCGTCACACTTTTCCTCCAGGATCACCTGCTGCCACCACCGGCTCCTGCAGAGAGCAGCCAGCAGCACAGCGGGAGTCTCTGATCACAGAGTTTAGGGGCATTAATCACAGCTCCCCGTGGACTCATTAGTCCGCGGCCTCATTCGTTTCAGGGTCATGTGTCTGCTGGTGATGCACAACTTTCTCCATCCCTGTTGGGAAGCACTTCTAGGGGAGGTGGAGAGTCTGCAGGAGTGTGTCATCAGTTTACTGGCACATAGAAAGGAAAGATGAGGGCTCGGTCTGTCTGAAACAGACGCCATGTTAAAAGGCATTTTACTTTGATTTACTCCAGATTTGACTGATGTCTGTGGTAGAGATCTTATTCCAACCCTCTGGATTTCAAAACCAGCCAGAAGGTCTGAAGCCACGTCATCTTAAAAATCACCCAGATTGCAGCTTTTATCAGAGACAGAAACCGTAAAAACAAACAACTGGCAGATTCCCAACTTTCTGGAGATCACTGAACTAATCATGAAATGCGTTGGTTGGAAATGAGGCTAAAAATCATGTTTTATCATCTTTATTCTACATGTTTTCAAACTCTTGGGTTTAAGTGAGAATCAGATCCACTGCAACATCACAAACTAGGACTCTGTTTGCAGGGAGCTGCTGCAAAACAACTACAAAGAAGGTTAAAGAGACTAAGAGGAGATAAAAACTAAACCTGATCAGTTAAACAGATGCAGCAGGTTGTCTGTAGGACACATCCAGCACAGGGAAACATGTGAAGCAGAGCATAGAGGCGGTAAAGATGTAGGCAGCAGGATAACGTTGGTAGCGTCTGAGGGAGTCACAAGTTGATTCCAGGTTTTATATTCAACAGTTCAACGGTTTCATTGAGGCTTCTGTCCAAAGCGATGTGCAGCTAGGAGTCGATACAACATCAGCAGGGATCGACTATCAAAGAAATTCAACTTGTGTTTTTTCTTTTTTTTTATGATTTACGCCATTTCAACTTGACTTTTCTGCACTTCTCGTCCTGGTTGTTCTGGTTCCACAGAGCTGCAGGACTTTACAGAAACATGAACCAGTGAAGAGAAACCAACAGAGACACTACATAGAGTTCAGAAGGAGAGGATTACATCTGTGCTTTGACAGTAATGTGTGTGTTGTGTGGTTTGGGAAAGGTCCTGTACAGGGTTTAAGTTTGCACTGAACTCATGTTGTCACTGTTCGGTCTCCTTGTTTTTAGTCGTTTAGCCGGTTAAAGTTTCGGCTCCAGCAGGAAGAATGAGCTGCAGGTTCTGAACCTCGTTGTGTGAAACCATCAGTCAACACGCTATTTTTATTTATTTTTTGGCGTTTTTGCCTTTATTTGATAGTGCAGCAGAGAGAGACACAGGAAAAGTGGGGAGAAGAATGGGAGAAGGACCTGCAGGAAAGGGCCATGAGTGGGACTCGAACCCAGGACTGTAGCCCCTGAACATGGGACGCCAGCTCAACCAGGTGAGCTGTAGCAGCGTCCCAGTCACCACGCTTCACACCCAAAACTGAATTGTGTCTTTGGATTTGAGGAAAACACAGGAATGCTGCCACAGACACCCGTTTCCTGACACTGTAGATACGAGGAGCTCCACATGACTTCATCCTGTGACCTCATTCAAACAAACATCTTCAGATTACCGCTTCACCTTCATAAAACAGGAGAGTTTACTCCACTTTGTGTGGACATCGGTTGGCGACATGTGCATCACGACAACCTTCTTTGAGTCACATCTCTGTCAGATCTGCAAATATTTGCTTTTTAGCCAATCTTGTTTATTTAAATTAGAACCATACGCCTCTATTAATTTCCCTGTGGGGACAACTGCATCGTTACAGCAGCAAAGACATTTAAGAAATATCACAATAAAGATGTAAATAAACCAAAGTACGAGTTCAGATTGAACTGTGGGATGATTTCCAGTAAACAAAGTGTAAAACACACTTGCTTTTAGTACATCCACTGATATTGTCATGGGCTGTGTGACATCAGCTGTGGACGGCATCTCGCTGCTATTCTTAGCTCTGAGTGGATAAAGCAGAGGCCCATGAAGCCAGCAGGAGGTGTGAATGTGTGTGAATGCCACTAATAAAACACCACTGCAGCGCTGTCATGACCCCTCCTGATTATTAATAGCTCAGCTTTTTATGACCACGGCCTGATGGATGGACAAACACACGCATACAAATGTCACATCAGCAGCTAATGGCCTCCACCTCCCCCACACATGCACATCCATCAGCCAGAGGCAGCTGGTGCTCAGAGAGGCGCTGAGACAACAGCACTGTTCTCACTCTGGTGTCCATCTTCACTCCATCCTTTCACTCTTCATCCTTCTACTGCACTCGTCCTCTCTGCATCCTGAGCTCAGCTGCCCTCACCTCAGACTCCTTGTAGTGGCGCTCGGGGATCTCGTCATAGGCGATGTCCACGAAGCACACCTCCGTCTCCTCCTCCCTGGGTTCCCTGCCAAAAATCTGAGGAAACAGCTGATGTGAGAGGATGAATGAATCAGTAAAAGCACTTGAGACGCTGACCAACGATGTGGACGGTGTCCCCCTGAGGCTGCTATGATGATTCATTTCAGTCAGAGAGCTCAAAGAATCTACAATTCGTCTGTGAGATCAGTTGATGTAAAGATGACACGACGAGCTGACTTCACTCTCAACACACCAGTGTGAGGATGAACGCTAAAAGTTATCAGCTCCCTTCAGAACAAACTTCCTACATCCCTAAAACTTTCCTACAGGTGCAGAGAAGAGGACAGAGAGCAGAAACAGAAGAGAGATGGTGAGCAGGCTTCCATTAAACACAACACACCCTCTGTTGTATCGACCAGTTGTAAATGTGAAGTCATGAACGTCTGTCAGACCGGCGTCACATGGCTGCGATTCCCCCGAGCCACCACTAGGTGGTGCTGCAGCCTTCTGTTTCCAGCTACAGCATGGATCGAGGCAACGTTGCGTAATTCAGATTTGACCCTTCTGCCAATCAAAGTGTTAAGTGGCTCTGCAGGAGAGCGAGAAGCGCTTTTAACTGCAATGAAAGACTTGAAGAAACCAAAGTGTTGGTCCCGATGCTGCAGGAGCTCAAGTCTGCAGCTGCTGTTATTATTATAAACTCTACAGCTGTCATTATAAACTTTATTATAAACTCTACAGCTGTCATTATAAACTTTATTATAAACTCTACATCCACCATGTCTGTGTTTCTGTTGTATCTGCATGCACCAGCAGCAAAAGTGAAAACCTTCATGCTGTTTCATGATCTGAATGGATGCTGCTCTGACAGGTGGTCTTTGTGTTTTTCCTGATCTGCAGATGATTCCCACAACGTTCCCACAACGTTTTAAAGAACGTACATAATGCACATGTATAGGTTTATAGTATGGGTATATTAGAGCAGGTTTACATGCTTTAATGTTCTTTATTATTTTCCTTTTCTGCAGCAGCTCTTCTCACCGGCCACCAGGTACATGACAGAGGAACCTGACATCAAGTGATGAGCAGGAATCTGGGAGGTCTGAAGCTCTTACAGATGCACAGCACTACACCAAAAACCCAGAAAGCACATTATGGACTCTTCACTGGAAAGACTTTGCATTTTAACATCAGTGCAGCGTGACTGAAAATGAGACATTTGTCCAGCAACTGTGTTGTTTATGTGAGATCTCAATGAATGCAAATTAATCAGCACAAAGAAAAGCTAATATAGTCAATCACGCTGAGTAAAATCCAGCTCTCCACAGGAACGAAAGCATCCTAATCCTCCACATATTCCTCTCTTAATGAAATCTCACAGTGATGCAATAACTCTCTGACAAGGAGAAGTCCTGAGTTCTGATTTGGGGGCTTCAGAGCAAGAAGGTTGATGAAAACATAAGCAGAACAACAGATGAAGAGGTGAAACAGACAAACACAAACCTAGAGCCTGTAGAAAAGCTGAGATTCTTTCTTTTCACATCAAACACTCACATTGTTGTTGCTGCCTTTGTTGTCCTCGTACTTGGTCTCTATGTGGATGGAGAACTTGGGCAGGAAGGAGCACTGGGGGGACAGAACAGCAGAAACAGTGAGAATCAATGTGCACAATGATGACTTGGCTAATTTGGCAGCCAAGACGTTTCTGTATGTGAGTTTGTTCAAAGCAGACGATGAGGATTCTCTTCCTGTGCAGGTTTACAGCCGTGCTGAGCTTGCAGCCGATCAGATCCTAAACGCAGCAGTTTGATCGGATTACAGCTGAACATCTCCAGTTATTATACAACCAAAATGTGGAGTGGCGCTTACATAAGCTGTTGATGTGTGTGTTTGTGTGCTGCACAGCAGGACGATCGATCCAGCAGCTACAGGCCTCCATGCTGGGAGTGTGTGAACCCACTGAGACGGAGGGAGAGTTCAGCCTCCCGTCATTACTGAGGAGAAGGCAGGTCCACTGGTCTTGTGAGAGAAGTGTGTGTTTGTCCTACAGTAAAGTTCCTCCTAGAAGTCCAGATAGTCCATGAACATCTGGACGTGGCTTGTTTCTCTGAGGATCATGACTTTATCAGTCCAGTAGGTCTGAGGTGTTTCAGTCCACGTCAGATTACATGACTCTGTTTTTAATAACAGAATCTCTGTAAGAGCCACAAACAATCCTCCTCTTCATCCTCTGATTCCAAAACATGTCCTGAAGCTGAACCACGAGGACCAGACTATAAATACCTGTTTAGCACAAAAGTGGACCTCTGTTTTATCAGAACAACGACAAGTGCTACCTTGAGAAAACTGAGCAGCTTTGTGGAGCGACAGCATAAAGACGTAGATGCTGATCTTCAGCCTCTTGAGCTGAGCTGCTGTGACGTTCCTCACACATCCAGATGCTCCGAGCAGCATCTCAGGGAGCCAAACATCCTGCTGCTGCTTTTATTTTTGGTTTATTGATGTTTCCTTGCTCCTTCAGACGCGAGCTGGAGGTGGAGGAGTCACGGTGCACGTCCACCTGATGTCCTCGAGTAAATCATTAGTGCTTCTTGTCAACAACAGTCAATTAAGCAGTGATGCAGCCCAGAGCTTTAATAAGACATGTCCTGATTCAGTGCTATTGACGAGCGGCCCGGTGCTGCAGGGATGCAGGTGTTCTGGGCCCGAAGGTGAAGCTCGAACAAGTCAGTTTGCATCTGTGGTGGCAAATCAAGAGTCTTATTATGGATGCAGGAGGAGCTTCATTTGCAGGTCATCCTGAGAGACGGGGTGAGGAGCTCAGCTTCACTGCATTAAAAATGAATCAGCTGATCAGGATCGGGCTGGCGCCTCTCCCTGGAGGTACTCCATCCCTTCCCAGGACAGAACACACAGAAGGGTCCACATGTGGCTACTCCCCTCAGGGAGGCCTCATGCTTCTCAGGACCAGCTGGTGGAGGTGAGCAGGCACAGCGACGCCTGGCTTTGACTTGCAGGTGATGTGGAACATGGCTACTGTTGGCTGAGTTCAGTTTAGAGTCACAGCGTAGGTGATAGTCAGGGTCCTGGTTACTGGCCTGGACACTCTACCTGAAATCTATCTGCAAGAATGTAGAGCATCACAACGACAAAGAGACAATCTCAACACACGGCTCCGTGTCTCACTGGTTTAATGTGACGTCACATCTTTTGAAGGTAAATGTCGTAAACCTGACGCTGCTTCTGTTTGGACTTCATGTACTGAGAACACAATCTGATGAAAGGAGCTCAACTCTGCCTCTCCTCTGCTCACGCACACTTCACATTTGATTCTTTTAAAACATGTGACTCACAATCACCTGTATGTGACAACAACAGCAGCAACACAGGACTCTTTATTCATGCGTCACATGTGTCCGTCCTCCTCCTGTAAATGTCGAGCACGTATTGACCTGCACACAAACACACGCCATCACTCAGATGAGCAGCAGCCAGAACAGAGCGAAAGGTTGAGCTGTCAAGGAAAGACGAGGATGGAAATAAACGATGCTGCAGATCAGGTACTGGACAGAGCACCTCTACCTATCTGTCTTATTTACTGATTGACTTTTAGGTTCTTTCATCTTCCATGAGTGTGATTATTGGCTCTCCTGATGTTTTGGTGACTTCTTGGTGTCCAAGATGCCGAAGAGCAGGAAAAAGAAGTTCCTAGAGTCCAAAGTGGTCCTTCTGATGTCATGTTGGGTCCAAA